GTCTGGTAATAAATGAAATTTCACATGTGCTTTTGACAATACAAAGCACTGTCACCCCTGGACTAGAAAGGGTGATGATAATACCACCATCCTTCCCTGCTTTCTTTTTTCAAAGAATTCTTTGTATTAGCAAATATCTTGTTTTATCTACACTTTGATTCCATAGAACATTACCCAGCTCTTGTTTCACAGGATTAATCTGCAGATCCAAATTGCCATCACATTCCTGGAGGAAAGTAAATGCTACCGACTTCTTTTCCTCTGTACCAAGTTGAGTGTTTAAGTTATATATGGTGATTTTAGCACAGAAAAATAAGCAACTCTGTTCTCTGATGTAAAGTAAATAATACATACCACTATGATCTCCTTGAATTCATAGTTGGACAGAAGGCATAAAAGAATATCTTATGAGATGTCACAGCTGCATTAGCTGCACTGTTCTGTGATTTAGGTACCTTTATAATTCCACTGACATGGTCCATCTTCCAAAGGTCATCGAAACAGCACGTAGAACAGGTGCTGATAATGTTTATTCTAAGCAAAATCGAAGTAAAAACACATCCTTCACTGAGTAAATGAATAACTTTCTAACAGACAAGATTACAGCTGTTACTGATCCATAGAAAGCTCTTAAATAATATTAAAAGCATCTTTTCTTTTTGTCTAAGCATTCCCTACCTTTCATTCTCAAATTTACTATCAAGAGAAATTTGCAGTAAAATGAAGGGTCAGTGCTCTCTCCGACTCTTTTAATGACATGGCATTTCAGAGAGCCCCACTAGACAGGTGAACCACTCTGAACTACCCCCGACTCACCTGAGATGTGAGGCTCCAAAACTGCCTCACAGCCTTAGTGCTGCCTTCTTGCCAAACAGAAGCATTCTGGAAGCATCTTGCAGGATTATTGTAGTTCTTCACAGAACATGATGGGAGACTGGTCAAAAATGTGCAAATAGGACAACCCTCACTGAAAGGGTTGGAAAGATGCATTTCTTAAGTAATATGTTTGTTTCTTACTTATGTCCACTCACAACTTGGGAAGCAGCCTGAGAACCTTCACCAGCACAGACTTATTTGTAGCTACAGTGGCCCTGGGTAAACAGGCATTCAGTTACAGTCAGAAACCTACAGGTCAAGGAACATTCTCCACAATGGCAAACCTCACACTGAGTGCGAAGATAATGAAAAAAAGTCCTGCTGACCAAATACAGTTAAAAAAAAATCTTCATGTCATTATTTCAGAGAGCTGGGGATTGTAGGAGATAAAACGACAACACCTCTCGTTGTTCAGATAAGATTGTTCTTGGAAATCTTCAATTTAACGAAGTCTCAGGTGAAAAAAAAAAATGAGAAACTTGATAATACCATCAGAATATCCTGCTTCAGAACGTACCCTATAGGAGACCTGTATCTCCCCCAGGAAATCAGCTTCCCTGCTCCCAAGTTTAAGAAGAATATAATCTGTTAAATCCTTCTACTCTTTCTCTAACATCAAATATTTTTGTGTGATTTGAAATGGATCATAACAAAACTATCTGCACAGCACAAGAAAGCATGGATTAAGTCCTTCCCGTTTGTGTTAAAGACAATGTGCAATATCAGCTAGAAACAGAAGGGGGAGCTTTCAATCACAGCATCAGCTCTTTTTTGCTGTTTTTAGGAGAAAAAAAAAAATCTCTATTTAAAGTTTCATGCCCTCAAGCTGCAGCTGAAGAACAGTGTCCTATACCAGATATCAAACACCACTAACACAATTGGGCTTGGACAGATAGCTTAGCTGATACCTTAGGTGAATCTCTCCCCTTAATCTGAGGGCTCATGCTCTCCCATGGGTTTTGTGCCCTTTCTCCACTGATACAGCACTAAGATTTCTGTACACCGCAAGTTTGCCTAAGGGAGGAAGTTAATTTGCAAAAGTGAGGATGCAAATTTAGAGTGAATGTCCTACTGCACAGGAACAGCCTGCACTAAGAGTCAAAGAGCTACTTACCTCAAACTTCAACTCAGCAGCCTCAGCTCCTTGTGTAAGTGAATGGAGAGGTAGATGCCCCAGGAAGAAGGAGGGAGGTGGTTAAGTGCTGGACCGTCCTTTCTAACCATACTGGACATTTAGATACCGAAAAAGAGACATGCAGAGACATCCCCTCCTGAATGCAAGCTGAGAAGCTTGCTCTGTTCTTCAACGGAAATAAACTGTCCCACACAAAGGAATTCTGGGTTCATGCTACGGGAAGCTGGGAATTAGCTTGCATATGATACCTGTATAGGTCAGGACACAGTCAGGTACCCCACTGTGTTGCAAAGCCCTCCAAATGGCTTGCTGGCCACACTGCCCTGTGGAACTCCCTGTTCGTCCCTTAGGTCTGGATCAGCACCTCTGGGGACCCTGTGACCAACAGTGTGTCTGCAGTACTTATTTGACCTTGATTTGTTTAAATGCAAACTCCACATGAAAGAAAAAGAGATTTGGAAACTATAGGTCTCTTTAAACCTTTTTTTAAACCTTTTTTTTTTTTTTTTTTTTTTTTTTTTTTTTTTTTTTTTATCCGAAGCCCTCCTGTCTTGACTTGGCACGTGGGTGGTGGAAGCTGTGGCCTGCAGCAGTTGTGTTGGGCACTGCCATTTGCTCCTGGCCATGGGACTCCATGCTGTACAATGTCCTACGGCCAAGTCCTTCCCTATTGGCAAGCCAAGCCCAACCATTATCATTACTAAGACTTTGCTATTGAAGGGGGCCAGGGCCTCCACACACCAGCTGAGAAGACTGTTCTTCTCTTCATATGGGCAGTGAAGGACTCGAGGGTCTCCTCTAGCTGCTGCCTTGAGCAAATCAGGCAGCCGCGAGCAACCTCTTGCTGAAGCAGCAGGGGTAACTTCTTCCTCCAAAACATCAGGGGCAGCTGATAGGGCACATGCCCATTGCCTCATATCCAACACCATTCAGCTCCCAAGCCAGCCTGAGAAAAGTATTCATGTCCCCTTACACAGCTGGAACAGAACTATCCACACAGACTACCATCTAGGAAGAGTTTCCTTCCTTGCCATCAGAGTGGTCCTGGAGGCAAAATTTGGGTCCAATATGTCAGTGACAGCAGAAAGTGGACGATCTTAAGTGAAGAGAGAGGGGCCCACAGTATCACATCCTATGGAAGGTGACAGAAAGTCTCACATCCTGTTGAAGCTGGCAACTTGTACCAGAAATAAGCTTTCTATTTGTTAGTAGGTGAGGCAAGGCTACCCTGCATCACTGTGGTGGTCTAAGGGCCTTCATTGTAATAAGACCCAGAGGTATCTGAAGTCCCCTGATTTCAGACGAGATGAGCACTTGGGAAGGGAACTGGATGATCACTCTCTCCTCCTGCTGTTCCAGCATCTGCTTGGCTACTGTGACAAACTCAGTTTGGTAAAGCTCATCCTGGGCTGAATTTTATACGTACCGGACGCAGCTCTACATCCTCCATTAGAAAGGCTTCGCTCTTCAGAGACATCAGACAGAACTGCTCCCCAAGGACCACGTTAATAGTGATCGTCTCAGAGAGCTCCTCTGTGCCATGAGTGACTGACCCTGCTTACCAGTCACCTACACAGGTGGACACTGTAGAGGTCAGCGAGACTCGTCAGACTCAGCAACAGTGCAGACATTTATTCAGGATGTCTTACCACAACCACTGTTTTCCTTCCCTGTTTCACAATGAGTTTACCAATTTAACTGTACATAGCTGCACAGCGAGCTTCCAGGTAACCAGCCCAATATACACAATACAGCACTCAAATTACAACAGAGCAGTTCCACAGTTTCATTTTATGGTTGTATTTTGCCATCAAAACACTGTACACACAGCAATAGCACCCTCCACCCATCTCACAAGCAGCATTACCACAACACAGCTGCCTCTGGCTTTATCTGCTGGCCCCTACTGAGCTCCACAAAGGAACAGGGAGACATGAGTGACTTTGACTGTGACCTGTGTAGCCCAGGGCACCTGCTCACAGCAAAAGCAAACAGGCTTGCCTCATTGGGATTTGAGGATCCAGTGTCAAGTGGTCACGGCCTTTAAGCAAACACTGGCCTTGAGTCACTGCCTGCTGAACTTCAGGGAGCATTGGAGCACGGTGTTCCCTCCCGGACAACATTGCCGATTGACTCATCCATGCCTTCCTGAGCCTCCATCACATCCCGCCTGCCTTTTGGGAGTGCATGATGTAGGACACACTTTGGGACTTCTTCAGAAAACTCCCCCCTACTCGCTCCAGCCTTTTTTTAAACTCATTATGTTCTATGTGTCATTTTTTTCCCCTCATTTTCCTTTATTCAGCAGACCAACCTTCCCAAAAGCCCAGTGCACACTGGGGTGGATCATGTGGCAGTGCAGCTCCCAGCACAGGCGTTCAGCAGAGGGAAAACAGCCAGTTACTAAACACAGCACCAGAAACATGCACTGTCCTGAACACAGACACAACAAAGAGAATACATGAAGGTGAGGATGTTCCCCATGGCAGAAACACATCTGTACATCTTTGCCTTCCCATGTACACCCAGGCTCTAAGACTGACAACTACTGTAATAGGGAGGGGAAAACACAAAATATAATGTACCACACCCAAACTAAATGTGCTGAACACTCAGTTCCCAGCAGTTTGCTTCTTGACATTGAAGCACAAGGTAAAAGCGCAGTCACTGAAAGAAACGTACCTGTTAACTGCAGCAGATGCACATCCACCCCCCCATCCCCCCAATGGTGGATAAAGCTCAAGCTTCATTCTCAGTCAGAGCACTTGCCATCTGACTTATGCAAAGTTTGACAGTTAAGATCCTGCCAACCTTAAGAATTCTAACGCAGGTAAATTTTCAGATTTTCGTAAATGAGGGTCTGCATTCCTGTGTCCACTGTTTCCACAGAGCTGTCTGCTCTAAGTAATATCTCATTGGGGGTGCCTTGCATGGAAGTGACCAACTGACAGGGCTTAAGGTTGTTATCCTGACGGCTGATTTCTCTTACCTCTCAAATGCAGACTTTTCTCCACCTCCCACTGCTGTCTTGCTTCATTTCACAGCTGCTCATTAATGCTTGTTACTGCACGTTACTAATTCCTTCAAAACAAACAGAGGAATAGGGCTTAGTCTGTGATGAGTGTGCTAGATTGTACAGGTCCAAATGCCAGGACGATGTTGGCAGCAAAACTGTGCTTCACAATAAGCTTAATTCCATGGGGAGAAAGCTGTACCAGTAAAAGTGCAGTCTCTGGGTTACAGCTACACTAGGACTCTTGCTAACATGGCTCTGGCAGTCAGAGATCCTACCTGCTCTCTCCCTTAGGCTATCTACGCTGGGAGATTGCTGTGGTGAAGCACAGCACCTAGGTGAACTTTCAAGATAAGCTCCCTTGTGCAGCACACAGCACCCAAAAGCTGGCAACACAGGGGAGAGCAAAGCAGGTACATGCAGAAATGGAAGTGGAGAACCTGGCCCAGTTGCATGCTCCGATTTGGATTATCCCTGCAGCCATTATGCTGGAGCGCAGACACTGGAGCTTGACTCTGACCATTTATTAACTCGGTCACATCACAGATAGCACCAGCTCTGCACACTCCTGCCGGCACTAACAACTCCGCGTGATTTAAGCACTCACTTAAATCAACTGGCATGCACCGGATGGGCCGAGCTGCAGGCAGCCAGGAGGCTGGCGCTGGGACACTTAAATGGCTGTGAAGGGACATGCAGGCTGGCACTGCACCAGTCACACAGGCAAGTCAGCCCAGCATCTCTGGGGTGCACTCAGGGCACCCTTCGCAATCACTATTTTTCCATCATACAAAGTATCTCCACCTCCTTCGGCCTAGATGAGAGAACTGACTGCAGAGGCAGCTTGTTGTACTGGTATTGCCAGTAATGTTTATCTCCCTGGAGAATTATCCCTGGAGAATGTTTATCTCCCAGCCTACAGAAGGTTACCATTCATTAGACAAAACAGATGCCGTATTCTCTTCTGGGTATTTTTGAGTCAAAATGACCACGCTACTGTGCAAGCTACTGTGCTTGCACTTGGAGTTGTTACTGTATATTAACTGTGTTCAGAGTGCACACAGCAGACCAAGTACTTCCTCAAAGAAACATGAGGCCCAAAGCCCTCATAGTGGGCACCGCGCTACGACTCCCACATGCTACACATCTTCAGTCTTTACATCATTGTTAGACAATATGAATGCCCAAACTGTTGGGCCTGGGACACTTGCATACTGGGTACCAGTGCCATAATCTAAAATTTTTAAATAGGTGGTCCAAGGAACTACAACGTTCCCTGTCGCCACACAGATGCATAACTGCCAATTCAAGTTCAGATTTCTTTCATTGATTATTTTCTATAGTGCTCGTTTTCAGTTGAATCAGCTCCCTAACCTGCTTTATCCCTGAGCTGCATAAACCACCACTGCTTGACAAAGGGTGGGAAAAGAAACGCTGTTGTGGCATGACACCTGAGGACACTCTTTGATGACAACAACTCTAACCATATGCACATTTCATTGACCTTGGCAACCCTTTTATTACATTCTGTACCAGACAAGCCCAACTTACACCTGCTCCACTAATGGGAACAGAATTAACCCTTCATACCAAAATCAGCATGAGGATGTGTGATGCAGCTACAAATGGGGGAAAAAATCCTTGCTAGCATTTAACCCAAAAACAACTTGTCTCTGTTTCAGAGAGGTAAAGCAGCCAAATAAGCCTTATAAGGGTTCTCCTTCTTTATAGTGAGATTAGTTTGCTCTTCTTTGTGCTTGGGCGGCAAGAGAGTAAGACAAACCCAACAATGTTTAGAGAACAGATTGCTAAAGCAGTTGGATGCTTGACTAAATTCTCAGTACCTCATCTTCTCCGACACACTGCACAAGAGTTTGTTGCTGAGGAAGTCATTCTCTTACATGCAGTAGAAAACAGAGACCTCCGTTCTCCCTCCTGCCTTCAAATAAGAGGCAAATCCACATGGTATCATGAAAACAGGAAAGAATAAGCAGAAATGACAGTATTTGTCCACAGGGAGAAACTCCCTCCCAAATTTAAACAGCTTTTAGCTCCTTGTGAGAGCAGTCTGAAAGAATAAGCTTCACCTAGATGGCTGTGGTCTCCTTCAATGGAGTTAGTTACTCTGGAGTTAGTAGTTACTCCACCAAGTGTTCCTCCTTTTAAAATAATTTCTTGATTAGTTACAAGCTGTATGAGGCAAGTTTTAGTTACACTGCAGGACCATGTTATGCGTGTCACTGGCAGACCGCCACTGTCACTGCACACAAGAGATGAAAGATTCTTACTTGCAGCTTACCTTCTCCATCGAGAAGCAAAGAAGGCTGCAAAGGCAAAGTGGCAAAGGAACCCAACAATGCCCTTTCCACAACTTGCAGCAGAGTGATGCAACTGCCAGCTAGCACCTAACTCTGATTCCATCATGACAGGAAAGGAGGAAGAGAAAGCATAGAAATACTTGCCTGCCTTGGAACACTTTGAATGACACAGAAACAACAACAAAAACAAAACAAACAAACAAAAAATCATAGTTAAAAGAGTAGAATTTGGAACCAAACCCACTAAATCACACTGGATGTTTTCAAAACATAGCACGCTAAAGAAAAGCAAGTGGTACAAAGCAAGCAAAGTCTTAAAATACACTTAGACAGCTACGCTATTGCTACCAGGGCATTACAGAAGGAAATGTTTTGGATTTAATAAAGCCAGTATTAACAGCTATGTAAGATGATAAATTCTGTAGTTTCACAAAGCCAAGTCCTCCACGGGACTCAATGGCCACTTTAAGCCTATCATTTATCAGCAATGTAATAACCCTCTACAAATCACTGTGGTATTGCATAAATGCACACGTGCAGTGCACAACCCTTGGCTTGTGCAGCTTGCGACCCTTGGACACGTGGCAGGGCACCAGCAGCCTTCCCTCACCTGGGAGGACGCCCTTCCTCCGTGCCACTTATTACTCAGTTTTACAGTGGGAAACACATGGATTTGGCTCTGCTGCAAGGGAAAGCACATTCCTATAGCCTGTTTATTGCCACACAGCATAAGGGACGCTCCCCTTCCTTGCTCTCCGTATTTGAGGTGGTGAATGTTTCCCATCTATACACCAGCTCTCTCACACTCCTCAGTGCACCAAGGACTTTTCTGTTTGCCTGTGTTTAAAAGGATCTAGTTATAACTGAGGCTCAGATAAGTCACTGATATTAGCGCAATTTACAACTTGGTGAAACTTAACAGGATAGCAAAATTTGAAAGAATCCATTTAAAAGTTACCACCAAAACCGTACCAGCTTTTTCAGATTAAAAATTAATGTGACTCCATGTTCCTCAGTGGTCACGTATACTGTGGATAGAAGAGAATTTAAGATACTTTAAAAACACAAGGCAACTGAAGTTTGGTATCTTGTTACTTCTTCACGGTTCCAAACCATTTGCTTTAAGCTATCTGTTCCCCATACTCACCTCTTTTCAGGAAAGTTTTCCTCTAATTAAGTGCAGCATTAGATGATCTTTCCTAACACACATACTTGCTACAGCTACAGAACTCTAGTTCACTGTTTCTTGAAACCAGGTAATGTAAACTGAAGCTACTCAGCCTACTGAAGAGTACTTAAGTGCAGAAAAGAAAACACTCCATTCAAATGTGTTATAAAAAGTTGTATTTATATATCTTTTAAAAGACATTATACAAAAAAACAAAATTTTGTTAAATAAATCCATTTAAGATCACGTATTGGCAATCACCTAGTAACAGTTGGCCCACGTGTATAATCTCAACTCATACATTTAATTTACCTCAGTGCTAGCAGAAAACAAGCTCGGCTTGCCAGCTCAATAGGATAACCTAACCAGGCTTCTATCATGTTAGTACTACTACATGAAAGCTTGGAAAACAATATAAAACTAGATTATACTATGGATAATAAGCAGTCACACTGCTGGACCGACAATGAGAAGGTGAAATGGGGAGAAGGAAAGGAGGATCTATGCTTTCAAATAACGTTCAGTGGAAACGGGTACACAGGGCAAGATCCTATATGAACAATCCACTCAACTGCTTAATATGTCACAATTAAAGTCAAACAGAACAGAATTTCTCTGTTAAATATACTAGCAAGAGTGTGCTATATTCTGGAGATGTTCTGCATCTTAACACCTTCAAAATTGAAGGAAGATGGCTTCAAACACAGCTCGTTTTAAGGCCAGCAGCACTTTCACAGAGCATTGGAAATGTCAAGATTTCTTTTCAGTCTAGTAGGAAGATCCACCTGCCTACAGAGTAAGTGGTTACCAGTTCTGAAATTAGGACTTCACTGGGAATCAAGAAGCAAAGCTGTTTCTTCAGACTCTTGCACAAAATAACTTTGCCACTTACATCCTCTAAGAAGTACTAATGAAGGTTCACTTCTCTCCCAGCTCAGTAGGTTGATTTGGTTGTTCCGTTTGAGTTTGAGGAATAAGAACCGGATTTCTTGGGATATCTACCCGATGAGAGAGACACTTGCATCCTCCTTGTTGCTCGCACACTTCGGCAAAGAAGAGCGTTTTTAAAGTTATCTCTGAAGTCTTTTGAAATATAGTAATAGATAAATGGATCGATACAGCTGTTCAGTGTAGAGAGGCACAGCGCAGTTATGTATGACAGATACAAATAGCTCTGGCCATTGGTTTTCAGGAGCGAGTAGTGAACAACAAGCAGCACATTGCTAGGTGTAAAACAGATGAGATACATGGACAGGACAGTAATAATAAGCTTGATTGCTCTTTTTCGTTTCTTTCCAGTGTTTATGTCTGAAATGGAAGCATTCAGAGTCTTTATCATTAATATGTAAGCTACAGCAGTGAGGATAGCTGGGAATAAGAAGAGTCCAATTGCAAGTGAGAGGAAGTAATTGAACAGGTCACGAGCCAGAACATTTTCAGGCAATACATCATGGCAGGTGGTGATGTTCAGCTGTGAAATATAAGTAGTCTGATTAACAAGATATAATGGAATGGTGCCCAATGCAATTATGATCCAGATAGCAAGGGAGATGCCCAATGCAATTTCAGATTTCTTTCTTGAATGCACTATGGGGTTTACCACAACCCAATACCGTTGCACACTGAGGCACGTCATAAAAAGGATGGAGCAGTACATATTTCCATAGAAAAATGCAACAAGGACTTTGCAAAGACCTTCTCCATATAGCCAATTATTGCCATTTACGTGATATGCAATCTTCAGTGGGAACCAGACAACAAAAAGAAGGTCTGCCAGGGCCAGATTGGCCATATAAATCACAGCAGGATGTTTCTTCTTTGTCCTGAAGAAAAAGACCCAGAGTGCCAAGGCATTGCTCGGCAAACCGACGACAAAGACAATGATATAGACTATGGGAAGAAAAACCGTAGTCAGCTTTCCTGTAAGGACTTTTGCTACAAAGTCATCCACTTCGTATGTCTTTTCAGAGCCATTACTTATATTTGGAACTACGTGGCCAATGAAACTTCTTCCTTTTGATTTGCCGGTTACATTTCTCTCTATAAAAACAAACAAACAAACAAGTTATTGAAGTAGACACCATTTTCCTCTCTACCTCCCCCTCCAAACAGACAGTCTACCTCCCCCTCCAAATAGACAGTATAATCTGTCTATTCCAAGGAATTCCAATTCCAAAAAATTAAAGACAATTTTTCCTGCTCTCATTTTAGTTGACTAACCAAAAGACAACTATATTCCTAGCTAAGGAAGATGGTTGCATCAGCAACCAAAATGCTCTTCTGCCTCAAACAACCGATATAAAAATACCACATTGACCATGGCTGTCCGATGCTCCTTCCACCTGGACCTGGTTAAAGTAGAAGTTGTTCCAAGTACCCTGGGGCACCATTATCAGACTCAGATTATCCAAGTCCTGGGATTCATATATTGTGAGCCAGTGGCAAAATTTTAAGTACAGCCAGAAGTGCCCTCAGTTAAGACAAGGCCTCCAAACCAACCACTATGCAGTAAAAATCAGGCTCACTTGAATTTGAACTGTCAGAGTGCAACGCAGAAGGCATTTGAACAACGGACCTGTAAAGAATGTTATATTTTACCTGAATTTAAATGTGAACTAACTTTATGCATGAAGATACAATGGGGCTAATCATCTGTGATCTCTTTCAGTTCAGATGTAGTTGGGTAATCTCTGCAGTTTTGGTTCAAGCCATCAGACTGGCAGCTAGGATTGTTCTGGACACCAGCAAGCTCTCAGTTTTGCTCTGCCTCTGAACGCCCCAGGAGCCCGTAAGGGTAGGTCAGGCAGCCTGTGACTCCCAAATGTTCTGTCCTGTGAAGAGCCTTGGGATGACTCACTCCAGAAACCCCCATGACATCTTCTATGCCCAACAGCACTCTCATGAGAACAAGTTTAACAGCACAAAAAGATACTCTCTGTGAACTGGCTCTGTCCCATAAATCATAGAACCACCAATCAAAACTGAAGCAACCCAGAGTGTGACTGTCTATGGGAAAAGTATTTTATCTCAGTTTCTGTCAAGATTTGTGGATGATTTTAGCCATAAAGCCCAGGAATACAGTCTTCTTGAGCAAACAGATTTGTGTACAAAGCATGAAAAGTACTGGAAGATGGCTCCTTTGTTACTCAGAAGGAAAAAATGCTTAACCTTTAAAGTGCAGGATCCCCACAAATAAAATATGCAAATTATCCAAAAGTATGCACGTTTCCCATACAGCTTTTAGAAAACCCTGTAACTTTAGATAAGTGTTACTTTTGAGTTATTCCTGCAAAGTATAATGTATAAGCCTAGGGCTCTGTCTAGGCTGTGCGATCTTCTAAAGAGGTGTAAAACACGGCACAGGTCTGCATTCCCTAGAGTTAAATGTTTCGAATTAAGTTACCCAGCTCATTTAACAAGGGTCTGCTAAATTCCAGGCAGAGGCAAGCTTCACTAGAAAAAAAAGGTACTGCCAATATAGTTACACAGACAAAACTTCGTAGTAGACTAAATGAAATCTAGGTTTAAGTTAATTGTGCCAACAACACAGCAGTTCTAATGAAAATATATTTGAATGAAGAACAAGAACAGTCTTTTTGGCGTGTATGACACGTAGTTTATCAAGGCAGATTATACAAGTTCTGCTCTCAAAGCCTCAAGCAACATGCCAGCTATAGCACTAAAGATTACAAATTTATTTGTGTATTTCAGGAATGCCAAGTTCTTCAGTCAGACTGTAAATAGTAAGAGTCATAAAAACCATCTGGAATATCATTGCTTATATAAGTGTCAGATGTAGAAGATTAATACCTAAGCAATGTATCCTTCCTAATGCTTTTAGTTTTGCTGGGAAAAAAAATCCAGAGTTACTTGAAAGCATAGCCATTATTGTAAGCTGATAGCTGTTCTCAGAGTACAGCAGTATAGTGTACAGAGCTATGTCAAGCAGCTGTCCATCAATAACTAATTAGTTTTAATCAAATTCCAGTCATACTATTCATATTCCCAGTTCCAAACACCGAACCTTTCATGGCAAACCAGCACAGTAAATTCCCAGCCTTGCTTTTACTAATGTTTTGTGAGCAAGTGTGAAGCAGTGCTTTCAAAGAGATGTTCACAGGCTAGGTTGGAAAAGCAAACAAACACGGTCACCAAGAAAACCAGAGTGTCACAGCAACATGAAAGAACAAGAAATCTATTAAATAACATGGTGCAACATCACTTGTGACCTACTCTTGCCAAGAGTGACAGAACAGAAGCAAAGTTGGGTTTTTTTTTTTTTTTCCTTAAAGTTACATGTAGTCAAGCTGAATGGACACTCTTGATTTAAGACATCAAGTTTTGACTTAATGCTGATTTTAAGTAGGAAATGCTACATTTCCATCCTCAAAACTTCTGACTGCGGGATACTGGGCACCACCGCCTCCAGTATCCAGTTTCTCTTGGCAGCAGCACTCTCAGAGGAGCCAATCCTTTGTTAGGTATGTGCATTTTCGGTGTCCTTTCCCTGCTCCTTCTGTTCTTTGCCTTTTCCATAACAATTGAGAAGAGCTCCTTTCCAAGCACGGTTTCACCCTGACTCACATGCCGAGAATGCAATTGACTTGCTAATCTGCCCACAGGAAAAGCGTCCTTGGCATCAAGAGGACAGACATACTGTACTCCTAAACAACACAAATCCTATTTGTTCAGAAGATAGGACTTACCACATACCAAACTACGGCTTATAACTATCCTGCAGGCACAAAAGTGCCAAAAGCAGCGAGTACCCAAACTAACTAGTTTAGATTGAAGGAGGTTAAGATCCCCTGGTTCTTGGATCCACAGCACAGACTCCCTATAACCCATAAGCCTGTTGAAAGCTTGACCTCGGTCAGGTCAGCCGCTGAGCTCCCATGCCCATCTCCAAGGGCAGTGGAAAGGCTTTCCTGACACGCACAACTGTGCCAGTTCAGCTACAGGTGCTTCGGGCAAGTTTGACTTAAACCAAACAAGATGCTAGATAGCCCTTTTTTTGTTGACATTTTAAGCCTGTTTCTTATCAATTTAGCTTTTAAATCTTTGAATCAAAACATATTACTCAATAAAGCAAGAAAAGCGCATCTACTCTTGGTGTGTACTCACTCACAGGTGATGACCATATATAGAATTTTTTATAAAAAAAGCTACCATAAGCTCAGCTCCATTATTTACACAGCCTTTCCCCATACATTTTTTTTTATGTAAATAAGCGCTAATGTACAGGAGGAACAAATATAGGAGGACACGGTGCAAAGAGCATATGTGCAGACGGCAACGAGTTTTACTGTAAGAGGGAGTGCGGCAGGACCCTTCAGGCAGTTAAATATGAATAGCTGTCTTCTCTTAAAAGCACTTATGCACATTACGCAATAATAAAAACTGGCAGCGATAAGCAGCAGGTTTAGGAGGACACCCTAACTTTGGGAAGTTGGAAATAACGTCGAGGAGAGATGACTTCGGCGCAGTTAATTAACTTGGGGATCACCTCGAGGCCGCCGCTCCCGCCACCTCCCCAGGCGGACAGGGGCACGGAGCCAAAGGCTCGGGGCGAGCTGCACCGGGCAGCAGATAACGCTGAGCTCTCCCGCTCGCGACTTGTTCGGGGTTTTTAATTTGTTTTTTTCCCTTTCCTTCGGCACCGAGCCCGAGGGGGCCCGGTCCTGGCCCGGCTCGCGCAGACCCGGCTCCCACCCCGCGGCCGGCCCCGACTCTCACCTGCGGCCACGGCGGCTCCCAGCAGCGCGCTCAGCAGCAGCAGCCACCGCAGCGGCGGCGGGCACGGCCCGCGGCATCCGGCCATGCTCCCGCTGTCCCCGCCGCGCTCGCAGCTCTGCCCCGCGCCCGACCAGTTTCGCCTGATACCTGAGCAAGGAGTGGGCGGAGGGCGCGGCCTCCGCTACGGGCCCGGCGCCAGGCGGGGCCGGCCCTGCGCTCGTCCCCCGCCGCCCTGGGGGCGAGCGGGGCTGCGGGGCGCGCTTAAAATGGTGGTGGCGTTGGGAGGAGGGCGCGTACGGCCCCACGGGGGTCGCGAAATGGCGGGGGGGAGCCACGCCCCAGGGGCGCCTCGGCCGCTGCGAAATGGCGGGGGCGCCGGCCGAGGGGGGAGCACCGGGGTTCTGTGCCTGCTGGGAGCCTGGTGGCGCACCTGGGTTTTAATATAATTAATAATAATAATAATATTATAATAATATTACTTTGATCCCACATAGTTTGACCCCATGTCCCCTCAGACTCTTCTGTGGAGCTGGAAGCTGGTGTGTTCTGGGCCACACTTTTCCAGTTCATCTGCTGCATGGAAAAAAATACATATACATTATATATATATATTATATACACACAAAGTGAAGTAATAGGTCATATTTAAAATATGACACTGTTTGCAGTATGACCTCATACTGTGAATAATGCCTGAGATTTCAAGAGGAAAAAAATACATTAGAAAGTCACTTCTATTATGTCCCATTAATGCTATTCATTATCCTGATCCTTCAATACCAAGAAAAACCCTAATTATGCATATAAATAAATTATCAGATCAGCATCAAGTAAAGTCAACAAAAGTGTTGTTTGAATGGTTGTGTAGTCAGAGGATATCATGGTATATGTAGAATTTCTTACTGAATTTAGCAGACTACTCCTAGGACACACAAATTGGTTCAGAAAAGGGCTGGAAGGATATTTCTTTAGGCAGGTGTGTTCCCGATGCCTCAAGGTGTTACCTTGCGCCTACCTAGCTTTGTACTGTCTTCACCATGTTGTCCTATGTAAGACAGGCAGTATTGGACGCTTGTTTAACCCTGAATGCATTTACATTGTTGTCTTGGTGGCACAACGTTAATAATGGGATATTTTCACTTGTCAGCCTCCCTTAAGCGCAGTGCACACACCAGCCTCTTGTACCCTTTAATCTGTGCAAACACCAATTCCAAGAACAATAAAATCCAGCACAGTTCAGTACCAGCAGTGCGCTCAGTTTGCGCAAACAAGTGGGAGTTTTTAAAAAGGTTTTAGGTATTTAAAATCCAGCGTACAAGTTAGCACATTAACAAGTTGCCTCCCTGCCACGCGTCTGCCCTGTCCGTGCCGCTCTCTGGCGCTCACTTGCAGTGAGGCTCTGCTACCAGCCACTTCACACACACTCAGCCTCCTGCTCCTGATCCCCTGTCCAGGGAGTCCTCGTCTTCCCATCTAGCTCTTATCTAATCTCCAGTTCAGACAGACATGTACATATATGCAGTGTTTTCCCTCTTGGATCTTCAGTCCTGGAAAGTGTTCAGTCTTCCTTCTTATATCCCGACCAGTGCTCCCCCGCGGTCTGCCACTGCCCAGTCCTGATTTTCACTGCTTATGTTCTCCAGATTTATTCCATGCAGTCTGGCTTATGGTCCCCTTTTCATTCAAAGCAAGCAGCCTTGAGCTCCTTCCCCATTTTGCCTGCGCCCAGCAAGGATGGGAAGGGAGGGAAACAAAGGAAAGGGACTCCTTTCTGCCACTCAACCAGATCTGCCCTGGCCTGTCCCAAAACAGGTCCAGGTCCCGCAGCTGGGTGCAGGAGTAGGCAGCACTGCAGACCCATCTTTACACAAGGCAGCCTTGAACTTAGTCTCCAGTAACTAAGGAAGCTATGGGAACTATGAGTTAACAGAAGTTTATAACTTGGCAAGATTTCCATAAGGAATCGGAAACTCATAACTGACATAAAAATCATCTCCCTTCAGAATTTCCAATGCAATTAAAAAGCAGTTAAAGTAGGAACTTCCAAGAGCAGGGAGGGTTAGGCAGCTTTAATACCAGACAGTTTTATCAGTCCGCCTTAGAACAAACTAGTGGTCTTTTAGCATTCACACACAGTAACTCCCGGTGCTCCATCTGAGCTTGACTAACAACCATGGAAAGGCTGCCAGTTAGTTAATGTGTATCTTTTTTTTTTTTTTTTTTTTTTTTTTTTCTGAACAGCTACTTTTGTCGTGTTTATTTACTTTCAGCTAGGAGTCAATGTTCCAAGCCGACATTTTCGGCAGGCGTAACATTTGTTAGGAAGGTTCCCGTTTTGAGGTCTGCACATTAGGACTCCCTCAGGACTTAACAGTGTTTGAGAGAAGGTAGATGTGGCCTTAGACCTATTCAAATAAATGGGATGTTGTACAGGGCAGCATCAAGCCTTTATTATTCATACTTATCCTTATTGAGGACAACTCATTTGTTAAGCCTATTTGCAGTCTTGGTGTGCCATTTTATCATTGCGAAAGGAAAAATTAGGAATTACTAAATAAACACAGACTAAATAAGCACAGACTATTAGTTCTAATTCACAATAATTTATAATAAAAAAAGTAGAATAGCTGTAGTAAACTGCCGCAAAAGGAGTAAGTGGGTGACTGTAGATGGTTGCTAAGCTCTCCATTACAAACAAGCCCTCAGCCCGCCGTTTCAAACTGGTGGCTTCCTGCTTTTCCTGCTATACTGAGCATTAATGCTTTAAAAAACCTGGAAGTTTCACCTTGCTGCCTTCAATGACTCGCAGGGAGATTTGAACATGCAGGTGTCATTGGTGCTGGACTAGTACTGGTCGTTAGAGCACACCCCAAAGTGATAGAGAGCGAGCAGAAGCTCGTAATTCCCTGCTGCAGCAGCGGCTGGCAGGCCACATTACCGGGAAAGTCTTCTGCACCCTTGGGCAAAGGTCAGAAATCTGCTCTCCCTTGCTCTTTGAGTGCCTTTGGGTGTGGTGGTATTAACGTGTTACGGTTTGGGAGCTGGGAAGGAGACGTCTAGATCTGCCAGGATCGGGAGCCATAGCCCGTGGGTCTGTACTGGTTTTTAACAGCATGAGGAATGAATAATCACAAAGATATGTGGCTTTGTCAACCATGCTTGGTACACCTTTATTAACTGAAAAGTGACTTCATTGCAAGGTGCCTGTCAGGACTAGAATGGTTGTCTGTGCTTAAATAAATAGGTGGGAGCATTTTTTCAGTATAAAGAGCTTGTCCTGTGTGCTTTGTGTCGTCCTATGGGTTTCTGATTTCAGATGGCAAGTGTGTTTTCTGTGTGTGGCTTTCTGTAAGCCTGTAACATGTCTGCTGAGGAAGAAAGTAAGAGAATGGCTGTTGGTGCTGTGTGCTTTACATAAATATTTATTTTTTTAAGATGATCCTGTGCTAAAAGACTTTGTTTTGGGAATGGAGATGAAATAAAAATCTTCTAACATTCAAAATCTGTCTTGTCATGATGGCACAAGTACTTAAATACCCTTCAAACCGTACAGTTAGTGCGAAGGGCTCAAGGAGGGAGGATAAAGTTTGGTTTGATTGAAACAACAAGAACTGGTTTAAAGATATATTTAGTTTCTGCTCCCAAAGAAGCTCATGTGTCATCTCTTGTTGCCTTAGCTTATCCTCAACTGCCAGCTGGCATCTGGGAGATAAGGAGGGTACCAGGGATGTCCCGCTCCTTATAGCCCTAAGTACCCTCTGCATTTTCCCATCTAGTTCTGTGGCCCCCTGAATTAAAGCAAAGTTTTGCTTTGTTCAAGTACATGCATAATGCAGTGGATATAAGAAGCTTTTTCATTAACTCATGTCAAGGCAGGAAAGATCCCTATCTTTCCTTGTCCTTTTCATTTATAAAAAAACCCCGGGGTCATTTTAAATGGTCCTTTTTTTTTTTTTTTTTTTTCCCCTTTCCCAGAACATTTGAACAGATCTCTGAGCATTTCTGGCTGTTCTTGCCAGCCTGTCTGTGAGAGCTAGCAGGACTGTTAGTAGGTAGCTGGTAGGTTGTTAGGTACTAAGTGACAGCTTCCACCCATGTCCTTGACAAGCTGCATGCCCTCCAGCAAGGTTGTCATGAAACACGAAAGAAAAAAAGGCAGCCACTTTATATTCCTTCTTGATAACAAGGAGCTATTTTATTTCTCCACATCTAAGTCACTCCTGTCTCACCCCATCTCCTGCAGGTTTCTTGTAGTCTTTAGAAGACTACAAGAAGTGGCCATGGAAGTGTTCTATGAGCATACGTTATGTTGGTGTCCTGTTGTGTTGTTACTACTGTGGGTGCCAGTGTGGGACACATATTAATATCATTTTGGGGTCATTCTGGTAGTAGGGGTTGATAAGCTGGTCATTTAATGTGTATTGCTGATTTTTCTAGCCTTCTGTCACAGTTTCCTGTGTTCTTTCCAGATGTCTGGCCTTCAAAGCTTCCCATACTTCCACTTTTCCCAGAAAGCAAGGAGATACAACTCAGGTTGGAGGTGGAACAGAGAGAAGTGGCAGAGGTCTAGAATAAAATGTTAAGTATGCCCTGTGCCTGGGGGATGCTAACATAGAGGCACCAGACCTGACTCCACGCTGACATGAAAGCAGAGCTTTTAGTGGCTTCTGCTCCCTGCGACCTTGCAGAAAGAGCCGACATGCAAATGAAATGCAACTGCTAAGGCTATGCAGAATGCAAAGCACTGCTGTTCCACTTGAGTTGATGGCTGCTGAATGTTCTCCATTTGTGAGCAGATGTGCCTGCAAATCACATGCTCTGAAACAGTGTGCAGTGAGCCAAGATCAAGAAGGTCAAAATTAGGAAATGCTCAAATTGGGGCTTCCTACACCTGTGATTCAACCTGCTTATGGTTATGCACTATGAAACAGGCTTAAGGGTAACATTATGTGCTCTATGGTGCACAGAATGGAGTGTGCTCTACACCTGTACTTACAAATATAGCTATACTCAAGATACTAATATTTAGGTAATGTCAATTTATTATCATGCTGCTGTTGTAAGTTAGGGAAGTGTGATTGATGC